TTAAAAAACTGTTGTATTACAATAATATTCTATCCTAATTGACTTGAATAAATACTACGATACCATATTTCTGAATATTTTCATTAAAATCCATCAAAATCATTTTCCTTATCATCTGCAGCACCAAACAGCTCCTCCCAGTCCTCTCCTTGAACAGCATCGTCATATGGATTAACACCATCATCAGCCATAGGATCATCAATATCTTCATCCTCATTCACGCTCTCATTAGCCTCATAATCCCACAACAAGTCGTCTTCTGTTCCATCAAGAGCATTCGAAATCCCACATTTCTTAAAAGATTTCACCACAATTTCTGGTCTGATTGCATCCCAGGCCTCTACAATCCATTCACATAATGTTGCTGGTGATGGAGCTTGGATGTTGCCTCCCTTTGTGTATGTCTTATCGCCTTCTATCATCCAGTTGTTCCACTTCACTCTTACCGCATCTTCAAATGGTTTGTTTATGGAAACATCCAGTGGTTGGACAAGACTTGTTAATCCACCAGGAATCACAGCTGTATCAGTGTTTTCCTTCCTAATCCCAGCAGTAACACTGTCAACAAGATGTGACCGAAACATATCCCACACAAAAAGACTTTTTTCTTTGCTCAGTCCCCCTGGTCTAAAGTTCCAGACTTTTTTAAGCCATATTTGTATGCCGCCTTCATCCATCCATCCTTTCTCGTGCACATGGATGATTAAAAAAATGCTGTCTGACTTGCAACACTGTTGGTAGGGTCAGGTGGTTCTAAAGGCACCTGCCAGGACCCGGTAATCAAATTTATAACAGTGTCTAACCTCAATTACTGTAGTTTATCTGATGTAGGCAATATGAAGTAAAAAATACCAGTTAAAGTGAGAAATTGGAAGAGAATAAACAAGAAAGATGTCATTGGGCTATTTTTGGTAGGGCTGAGGGAGAGAGTACCAGCTGTTTGGTCTTTTTTGGCGGGAGAGTCACGCAAATAACCGTAGTACTGGTATTTGTTTGGTGTCTTCTGTATTTTTAAAAATGAATACAGTACTCCCTCTTTATCGACGGGGGTTACGTTCTGTAGACGGCCGTCGATAAAGAAACCGTCGATACCGTGATGGTTACGTAATTTTTCTAACTATTATTAGCATATGTTGAATAAATGTACCTTTGAGCATTAATGCGTTTCCTTTACACATAACCTTAAATAATAGTGTATAAATAATAATATAATAAGTGGACAAAAATACTAGCAAACTTACGATTTCATTTATTGAAGTGAACATCGGTCCTTACAGTAAACAATACAGTGTACAGTATATACAAGTGTGATGATTGAGGCTTATTAAAAGCCTGACCAGTCAGATGAGTATGATGAGTCAAGGTCTGCATCTTCTTGAGGGGTGTGGGCAGGTACTGCGTCTTGTTGTTGTGAGGTGCCGGCAGCTTCTACGTCTTGTTGTTGTGAGGTGTCGGCAGCTTCTGCCTCCTGTTGCAGGATGCCGGCAGGTTCAGCGATGGCAGGCACTCGGCGACTGAAGAAGTTGGTGATGGTGGTCTGTGCTTTCTTGCTTCTCATTTCCCTCTGCAGTTCTATATATGGCAACATAACATTTTCAATAGCTCTCTTTGCTTTAAGGGACCTATCAAGGGAGGGATCAATGTCATAGAGACGAGCAGAGAGGGCCTTACTCATTCTTATTACTTCACCAAGATTATCTAAAGTTAAGTTCTTATTTTCATCATCATACCGCTGTCGAGTTGTTTCAGCACTTCATTCTTCTCATTCAACGTCAGCACTCGTCTTGCCCTCTTAGGTGTAGATCCAGAGGGAGCAGCAGGTCGTTTGGGAGGCATGGTGATATAAGTTGATGTGATGAACCACCAGCAAAAGTTGAAAATCAAAGACTGTTGCCCACGCGGCTTGGCTGATGTCTGTGTTCAGGGAAGGCGGGCCGCGGGTAGACGCTAGTCACGCCACTAGTGCCGCCTAGCGGCGAAAGTACAAACAAGGCCCGCAGAGTTCAAATAAAGCCAAAATAAAAATCCGTCTAAATAATCCGTCGATAATCGAAACCGTCGATAAAAAATCCGTCGATAAAGAGGGAGTACTGTACTTGTAAATTAAAAGTACGGTAACATTGTATTATATACAAACTTGTCATAATTCTGGAAAATAAGAAGCAAGAAAATAAGAATATACCGGTAAACACAATTTCAACGTACGCTAAAATTAAAAGCTGCTAAAGAAGGGCCGATGCAAACACAAAGCCTCCGCGACCAGGGCTCTGCCGTATCAGCTAGACGGTACACGTGTTTTTTGAATCGTTTTCAGTTAAAAAACTGTTACATCCCAAGTGAATTAGGATAGAATATTATTGTAATACAACAGTTTTTAACTGAAAACCATTCGAAAAGCGATTACGGTAACATCTTTTCAACGAAAGAAAGCGAAAGTAATTGTTTTTGTCATGATTTTATCCCACTTTCCACTATAATACTTACGTCATTTCAGCAAAAATATTACATTTCCATATTCTCAGAAATAAATAGTAGTTTTGCCGAAACATGATGTATTTCAATGTAAATTAGGATAAACTACATGATGAAAACAAAAGACTTTACCAAACCTTCCGATGTTCAAGATATGTTACTCGTTTTTTTAATAGTTTTCAGTTAAAATACTGTTATATTAGTGATATTCTATTTATACTGTGGTTGATATAATACATTCACGGAAATGTAATATTTTTTGCTGAAATGACGTACGTATTACAGTGGAAAGTGGGATAAAATTGTGACGAAAACAATGGCTTTTGCTTTCTTTCGTTCAAAATATGTTACCGTAATCGCTTTTCAAATGGTTTTCAGTTAAAAAACTATTGTATTACAATAATATTCCCTCCTAATTGACTTGAATAAATACTTGAATGGAAATATACAATATTTTTGTTGAAACTACCCGCGTTTCAGTGTAAAGTGTCGTAATAATAAATGGTAAACAAGTTTATAGGATGTAGTGTTTCTCTGAAGGTTTTGTTGTTCCTTTACCCTCAAAAACTTGGGTCGACCTATAAACGAGGAATATCATAAATTAACAATTTCTTGGTCAAAAAATCGGGGTCGACCTATATACGAAGGGGGGTTATAGACAAGTATATATATATATATATATATATATATATATATATATATATATATATATATATATATATATACAGTTGTACCCCACTTAACGCGGTCAATTGAACCCAGAGGGTCCCGCGTTAAGTGAAAACCGCGTTAAGTGAATAACAGAACATATGGGATTAATTCCAATAGAACCCAGCCCGACCCCCAAACTCCACTTTTTGACGACAAATAACTATGTTGTAGTAAAAATAACATCTTAATTTTATGATGGTACATGCACTCAATTAATACTTAAGAGAAATAGAGAAATACAGTCGCCAAGTTAATGTCCATTCAAATAATGGACTCAACTCCCTCCCCCTCTCACACTACACAGCCGGCTAACAGATGGTCGGTCGGTCCCTCCCTCCCCCCCCCACCCCCCACCAACCGTCCCAAGGAGATGTGTGGGATAACCTCAAACTAAAGTTAGGAAAATATAATTGACATTGCTGGATTCCTTGTAAGACCAGGAATATTTTGAATATAAATGTCATATATTTTTCACAAAAGATAACATACTTACTCAGATTAAACATTTTATCTAAAAATTGTATGTTTAATGCAAAAAATATGTTGTTTATATTCAAAATGATCACCAAATTATAAGAATTCCAGCAATGTAAATTATATTCTGGCTGGATAATTTGTATGAATTTTATGAGCTAAAACAAATATCTACAGTTAATAAAAAAAAATATATATTCTTCAACACTATCTGTCAATCAAAGTACCCCACCTTGCCTCCCCCCTCTTCCAACCGCGCGGTCAGTCCCAACCCTCCCCCACCCCCCACCAATCCTCCATTCAAGAGTTTTTAACATTTAGTAATAAATAATACCTCAGATTAAAGTTAGGATAATATAATTGACATTGCTGGATTCCTTGTAAGACCAGGAATATTTTGAATATAAATGTCATATATTTTGGACAAAAGATAACATATTTACTCAGATTAAACATTTTATCTAAAAATTGTATGTTTAATGCAAAAAATATGTTGTTTATATTCAAAATGATCACCAAATTATAAGAATTCCAGCAATGTAAATTATATTCTGACCGGGTAATTTGTATGAATTTTATGAGCTAAAACAAATATCTTCAGTTAAAAAAAAATAATTCTTCACCGGGTAACAGATGGTCGGTCGGTTGGTCCCTCCCTCCCCCCCACCTCCCACCAACCGTCCCAAGGAGATGTGTGGGATAACCACTAAATTTTAATAAATAATACCTCAAACTAAAGTTAGGATAATATAATTGACATTGCTGGATTCCTTGTAAGACCAGGAATATTTTGAATATAAATGTCATATATTTTGGACAAAAGATAACATACTTACTCAGATTAAACATTTTATCTAAAAATTGTATGTTTAATGCAAAAAATATGTTGTTTATATTTAAAATGATCACCAAATTATAAGAATTCCAGCAATGTAAACTATATTCTGGCTGGGTAATTTGTATGAATTTTATGAGCTAAAACAGGCAGTCAGGCAGGGTGGCGGGTGGGGGGTGGTGCGAATCTAAAAATAGCTCTCGAGCCGGACACTCACCACGTATATGATGAAAAATGCCACGTTAAGTGAAAGTTCAGCTTTGGCAAGGCACTGCGTATATGCGAAAACGCGTTAAGTGAAAGCGCGTTAAGCGGGGTAATACTGTATATATATATATATATTATATATATATATATTATATATATATATATATATACTCTACTCTTACTATATATATATATATATATACAGTGACCTTATAAGTTTATGACACACTCGATTTAACGTAATTTAGATTAACGAACTGCCTTCCGCAAGGATCTTCGAATTAGGTTAGCGAAAAAATTATTAACGAACTTCTTCTGCGAACCATTCAACATGTTTTTGAGCATGACGAGGCGACAGCTTTAGTATCAGTCTGCCAATACATTAATCGGTTCTAGGGCTTAAATTCCTTACTATTTTTGTAAATATCAAGAAGTTTATACTATTCAATAATTTTAAAAGTTTAATATTCAATTTTTTAGTCATTTTAACAATTATTGAACAAAATTGAAGGTAAAGTGACTAGTTTAATGCGCGGCATCCAGCCTCTTAACACAGCAAACAGGCGTCAGTCTCTCTCTGTTTTCACTGGAGGAAACATCTTGCTTGAGACTCTCTTCAACTAAATGCTTTTTTTCTGTGTTTCCAAGCAAATTATTGGTCATTTTGAAATATATTTTATATATTGACAATATATAATGCAGTTCAGCGTTGATTTAAAGAAAATAATCTTGAATTAAACCAGAGCTAAATTTTTATGGGTGAAATGGCACCGTAGACGACTTCTCTTCCACTAATACCTTCTCCTCTTCCTTCCCTCCACCCCATTCTAAATCCCATCATCATCATCATCATCCAGGAGCCTTCTACATACACACCTCAAAATGAAATGTGAACTTTTTAATTTTTGTTGAATTTAGGAAATTTTCGGTGAGCTGGAACCAATTACCCAAAAACCCATTGCAACAATGGTTTGGGTTAACAGACATTTCGGTTAACGAACAACCTTCTGGAGCAGTTGAGTTAGATTAACGAGGGCACAACAACACCTGTATATATATATATATATATAACATAATATATATATATATATATATATATATATATATATATATATATATATATATATATATATATATATATATATATATATATATATATATATTTATTTGAAGTTGAGGATTTAGAATATAGTTATACGTCTACCCAGATCCCAACAGGTAACAAAAAAAAAAAACAAAGACAATCGGACTATAAAAGGGTAGACAAAGGATGCGAGTTTTCGTTGTGTATAATAGAGTACCATAAATTCCTTAACAAAATATTCAGCTTATAAATTACCCTTAACCAAACTTAACCTAAACATTTACAGTATATACATATTAATACAACATAAACCATTTTGAAGCAAGTGGACGTGGGGGAGGCAATACAAGATACAAGTACTTAAGTGAGGAGCTGAGATGGCTGACGAGTAAGGCTGAGTATTGTAGAAGACGGTAGGTAGTCACTGTCCGTAGGTTTAGAGCCAAGTGCTCTCTCCTCGAATTGGAGCTCACAAAGAAGACTTGGAGGAAGTGACGCAACAACCAGGATATGGAGAAGGGAAACCCCGGAGTGTTAACTAAGAAGAGTCATACTCGTGTCTCGTCCCTAGATGGTGTTGCTCGTGGTGCTGGGTAGGTAGATCAGGACAATAGATGGCGTGGTTCGTAGTGCTGGGTGGAGGGGTTCGTAACAATATATATATATATATATATATATATATATATATATATATATATATATATATATATATATATATATATATATATATATATATATATATATATATTATTTATATATATATATTTTATATAATATATATATATATATATATATATATATATATATATATATATATATATATATATATATATATATATATATATATATATATATATATATATATATATACAGTGGTATGCTATAACGAACGAATTGGTTCCAGAACCTTGTTCGTTATAGCATCTGTTCGTATAGGATTAACTTCGTGTAATTCCATCTTCAGGGGTGAGTGCAGGACTGAGAGAAATTAATGCAAATCAAGATTGTATATATACAGAGGAGAGGTGAGACCAGGTCCTGTGGTCAGGTGTTAAGTAATACCTACTAATCTTTAAATAGCACTAGCAATTGGTGGTCAGGTCAGATGGTCAAGTAACCGGCCTTCTCACCTGATCACCGTCTTCTTGATACAAAATTGTCCCACAGCTTATGCATGCGTTACTCAAATTCATGTTTAAATGTAGGGGTATGTTTAATAAGACTAGATTCTGTAGTGTTCCTGCACAATCAATTGACTTACATGGTAATATTGAGGGCATTGTCCCCAGTCAATGCAATAGCATTATCCTCAAATGAATTCGACAGAGCATTGGATTCCTAACCTGTCCCTAACACTGTATTTGTATTGTTTTAATTCTCAGATTTCTCAAGATCTTACCTGTCTGGCCCTAAATAAAAACATATTACATTCACTTGAGAACTTCTCGTCTAACAATTGTACCTTGTTGAGAGACAACCGATTAACTTATTGTTTATGATGCATGAGTTTTAAATGCCATTGACGTTCAGGTTTTT